AACACCAAAAGAGCGGGAAATTTTTAAGGGAATGTTCAATTCCTTTGCGATGCACAAACAACGGTCAATTGCAGATGGTGACTTTGGAATTTTCTTCGCAATAATAATCTTTCTTACGTCATCACCGAGAATGGATTTGTTTGAATTAAGAAGCTTAGGGACTATTTTACCTTTTAACTCATTAAGTCTATTTTCTAAGGTTGGGAGACCAGTTTCAATTATAATATTATTTATGGGCGTCGTCCGAAAAGCATAACAACTTGCTCTAACGGCTTGGTGATAGACCGGTTTAAGGACGTTGATATTAGATTTGCAGCTATTGCCATAAATTATCAAAGCATAGTCAATCTTGCTTAGCACAAGCATTTTGGTAAGATAAGCGATAGTGTTAATATGCGCATGGCTTCTCCAAGCAACGTACTGTATGAAATTTACCCTTGTTAAAAGGGAGTTTTTTAAACGAAGGCAGTGTGCTTTCCAACGGTAATTGTTTGAAAACGTGAGCGCTAGAACATGGAGCGTCTGCACATTTGGTACTGGTAAGCCGTTAATATGCATCAGTAGGTTTCCTGCATCGCACATTTGTTTTCGACAAATGTTCCAATGTTCCACTCTTGGTACACGGCAAACAAGTTTGCTAATTTCGTTGAAAGCGATCTGGAAAAGCGTGACAGAGAGAGGAGATCCTTGCGGAATGCCGTTCATTAGGGGGAAGTAATCAGAGACATGATTGTTGATTCTAACATTGAACCGCCGATGCGACATGAACGATTTGATGTAGGTGAAGAATTTGGGTCCAACATTCCATGATTTCAAGAGTCTTAAGATAACATGAACACCAACTCTGTCAAATGCTTTTTCGAAATCAATTGAGAGAATTGTTACGTGATTTCGTTCGGAAATTGCTTTGCTTGTGAAATAATCAATATGTAACAGAGCGTCGATGCATCCTCTACCCCGCTTGAAACCAACTTGTTGCTTTGTTACCAGGTTCTTGGATTCAAGAAACCAAGATAATCTAGATGCCATAATCTTCTCTAAAACCTTAGAGAGGCAAGATAAAAGAGAAATTGGGCGATAATCAGATGCGATGGAGACATTTTTTGACTTTGGAATTGGAACAACTGTTGCCATTTTCCACATGTAGGGTATATGGCCAGTCATAAATACCGTATTATATAGGTCCAGTAATTTCTTTTTACTAGACTTAGACATAGCACTGATCATTTGGTATGAGATGCGGTCTAGACCAGGTGTCCTCCCCTTCAAATTGGAGAGACAACTTCCAAGTTCTGAGGTAGATACGCTATTTTCCAGGAACATGGCACATCTATCGATATTATTTGAAGGAGATATTGGAGTCCTTTTATTTTCAATGAAAGCACTGGAGAAGTTGCTGTCAGGGGAGTATTCGCACCACACTTTTCCAAAGTAATTAGAAATCTCATCTGCGTCAGTTAAAGTTCCATTGGGAGTGCAGATGGCAGAAATTTGGTTCAGGTTTGAAGTCCCATTAAGTCTGTCGATTTTGTTCCAGACAACTTTCATTGATGTATTTCTGTGAATTCGTCTCGAGAAAAGTTCGAAACTAAGTGCCTTTGATTTCCGTAATTTCTTCCTGAATAGAGCATTGGCCTTTTTGTATAATAAAAAGTGATTCTGATCAGGACATCTCTTAAAGCGGTGCCATAGATCCATTTTATTTTTCCTCAAAAACGAAAGCGTGTTGTTCCACCATGGAACCCTAGCTCGTTTAAAAGAGGTGTTGGATTGAGGTATAGAAAGATGAGCAGCCGTGCGAATCGATTTAGACATAATAGCAGCATCATGGTTGCAGTTTCCGTTAAATGCCTTTGAGTTCAAAAATGACTCCACCTGTTTGGAGTAATTGATCCAATCCGCTTTATCTAGGAGGAATTTGGCCTGTTTTGCTGGAGTAGCAGAGGACGTTGAAAGTTTAAGATCGATTATGATTGCAAAGTGATCACTATTATGTAGATCATCAGAAATAGACCAGGACACCAAAGGAAGAAGTGATGGAGAGCAACATGTTAAATCAATATGTGAAAAAGTATGATGAGTTGAGAAGTGCGTTGGTTTTTCATCATTTAAAACGCAGAGATTGCTTTGAAAAAAGGCCTTTTCTAAAACAGTACCGCGAGTGTTGTTCACTGTTGAGCCCCAGATGGTATTCCAGCTGTTGAAATCGCCGCATATAATTAATGGGGGGGAAAGTACTGAGAATAAACTGTAGAGTTCTTGCTGAGAAAACGATTGCGAAGGTGGAATAGCGAAAGCACTGTAAATTTTATATTTAACATTATTTGTATCGCTACGGCTTGTATATGTGAGCTTAAATTTATGCGTTTGTGAGGTATATTTCATTTTATAAAAACACCTACTCCTTGTTTGGAATATGAATTTTGATCAGCATTCGTGAAGTATCCAGTATATGATTTGGGTGGAATAGGATTAAAAGAGCTTCTACAATGGGTTTCTTGAAGCGATAAAAAGGTTGGATTAAAATCATTTATGAGTGTACGGAGTTCATCAAAATTATTAATAAGTCCCTTAATGTTCCATTGTAGAATTTTAAAAACTTTATTTAATTGTAATGACATGTAAACAGAGTGGAGGGAGGGTTAAGCTGACATGTCAGCGTCTCCGTCGAGAAGGTCACTATAGGAATTTTTCGTGAATGATTTATTCTTACCAGCAGAATAATCTGTATTCAGGTGATTTGGTACATTTGAAGCGCAACGGGTTGGCGCACGTGAATAATTTGAAATTGAAGGTTGATTGAGGGATGAAAGAATGGATTCATTACCATTTGTAGTTTGTTGAGTAAAGTTGAGAGCTGGAGATTCTGGAGAATTTGGTATATTAGATTTTAGCAAATGTGTTGTTGTTTTAATTTTTTCAATATTTGCAGTTGCTTTGGTTTTCGAAGGTTGATTAATGGATGAAAGAATGGATTCATTACCACTTGTGATATGTTGAGTAAAGTTGAGAGCTGGAGATTCTGGAGAATTTGGTATATTAGATTTTAGCATATATGTTGTTGTTTGGATTTTTTCAATATTTGCAGTTGCTTTGGTTTTTTCAATATTATCTTTGGCAAGTGATGTAACTGGTTTCGCAATATAATTTTTGGTTAATGGTGGAACAGGTTTTTCATTGGAAGCAGTTGCAGTTAAAGTCTTACTAGGCTCGATTTGCGAGGCAACAGCAGCATAGGTATTACTTTTGCCAATTCCATGGGCTACAGATGGATTTCTTTCCCGGTATGTGCGTCGCGCTTCGCCCACGCTACAGTAATGTTCTGTTTTGATTTTTAATATTTCACGCATCTGTACAAAACGTGGGCATTGTTTGTCTAACGCTGAGTGTTGATCATTGCAATTTATGCAGAAACTACGGGTACAGCTTTCAGTATGTGGAGGATGACCACAGTTAGCACAAGATGCAGCATTAGTGCATCTTTTTGCCGTATGACCAAGGCGTTGGCAATTTTTACACCTCATAGGATTTGGGATGTATAGTTCTACTTTACATTTATACCACGCCACATCAACTGTTCGCGGTAATTGATAGCGATCAAAAGTTATAATAATCCTTCCTGTAGGAGAGCGTGTTTTTCCGTCATCATTCAGTTTGGTTAATTTATATGCTTCAGTCACTCCTTGAATGCCCATTTCGCGAACAATTTCATCTTCCGGCACATGCTTTAAGCAAGGGGCATAAATTACGCCTCGAACCGAGCTAAGTTTCTCATGTAGTTTAGCTGAAATAGCACATAGATTAGCTAAAGAATTGGCCTTTATCAGTTTTTCGGTTGCGCGCGGGTTCCCAGCGAAGACCAGTAAATTCCCATCGCGTAGAATCGAGATCGAGTCGATCAATGTTGTTTTAATACTATCTAGAGCTTTTTTTATAGCAAAAGGGCTAATTTGGGAAATTGTTATTCGAGCATCGGTTGAAGAAACAACAATATATTTTTTATCAATAGGGATTATATCGCTGATCGGCAACACCGGAAAATCTGATTTTTTATTTTTTTTTTCTTTGGGGGGATGTATCACTTAATAGATAAAATCTATTCGGGTTTTTGTCTGGCGGCCCCAGGGCCATTATGCCTTATTGTTGTCTATTTATTATTATTTTTGAAATAACCACTCACTTGAAAAGGTTTGGGAACTGTGCAAGAAGGTTGGGAACTACTAAAGAAAAGTGTCAAATGTTTTCAATTTTTTTTTTTTTTTTTTTTATTTTGTTTTTTTGTTTTCTATTTTTTATTATATATAGACGAAACAAAAGCACATACGCGATATCCGCGTTAACCAGTTTTAGCAATAACACTGAAAAGACAGAAGTTAAATACACAAAAACACCGAAAACACCGAAACAATTGAAAAAACGCAGACGAATAGAAAACACGCACTACACTGAACACAAGTCGACTCGTCTATGAATATATAATCTTATATATATAATTGTATAAAAAAAAAGCATTTATCTCCTCTTGAACGCATCACGGCACCTCAAAGCGTTACCCAGGCGGAAAAACGTGAAACCACAGAACGGAGAAAGCCTTGCGTTTAGAGCAAGACTTTGTAGATCGTTTAGATGGATAGATTTTTGTGATCATTGAGTCCTTTTAATGTTTTTCTTCCAGGAATGGCAAACAAGTAGATCATAATTTTCTGTTCGTCAGAATACATAAATGAAATATGAACACGTTGCAGCTGAGTCTGAAACACCAAAGTATGCCTCTAACACCTGCTGATTGGTTATAGCTCGGTGTTTTCTGATACCTCCGAGATTTGTAAAGCCAATTCTGTTGTGGGTGAGATAATTTTAGCGCCAATTTCTTTAGGAGTCCACAGCGACTTAACATTTCCAATAAAGACACTAAAAATGCTGTTTTTCTGAGCCAGTTACAGCCTCCGCAGAAACATCTTTGCGTGACAATAGTAACGGTATAGCAGTAGCCTTTGATTAGAAATATAAAAATTTCCTTTAATATCGCAATGAATTTGGTGTATGTATTAAGGTTACCTGAACAGGTGTCATTAATTCAAAACCCATACTTTCAACAACGTCAATACGGGCCTAGATAACGGTGGCTTTTCCAATGAGGTCCACTTCTTACAAGACATTAACAACTTAATATCTAAAAAAAAATTAAAATTTACTATTTTTTATTTTGTAAAGAAATTATCCACGTGTTTGCAAATCCTTTTTTTACACTTTTTCTTAATATTTTCTATGTTATTTTAATCGTTAGGGCGCGGGACGATAGCACCCCAAAAATTTTCTCGATAGTACAAAATAAAACAATATTCAGTAAATAAAAATGCTTTGAATAGTCTCTTTTTTTGTCAGTCAGCTGTTATTTTGGCGTTTATGGACCTACCCGTATAAAGTGAATGATGCTAAGCTGTCAACTACTTTTTATTATATTTCTTTATTTTAATATTTGTTTTTCTCTGTATCTTTTATTAAAGTTGGCTAGAGAGAAACAAACTTTTTGTTTGCATCAAAGCGTGCTAATCCACTATAAAGAGTTTTACTATAAGTTAAGCCCAGCAACTGCAGACAATGCTTTAGTTTTCAATTTCTCAATTCTCAACAAATACAGACTCGCTTTTTCAATTGCTCTCAGATGTGATCAAATTCATACACCCTTTTTCAATTGCTCTTAGATGTGACCAAATTCATATGCGCTTTTTCAATATTTTCTCAATTGCCACCAAATTCTGACTCTCAAATGGAACCAAATTCTTACTTACTTACTCCGTACGTAGAGGCAAATGAAGAATTATTATAATGACATAAAGACATTTGATAACTTGAAAACTTTGCAAAATATTTCTTTATGATTAACGAGAAAAAGACTTGATCCAATAAAGATTAAGTTTGATAATTAGCAAAAATATGGTTTTTCATTTTTATTTGTAATAAAGTTTTTACTATTTCTATGAATTCATTAATTAAGAATTTTCATTTTGCTATAAATATGGTTCTGAATTTTTATAAGTGTCGTGTATGTATTCATAAATTAATTGAAGTAAATACTGAAACGATTTATTAGTCACCAAATCATCCAAATCTGTACTGTTAAGAAATTCAACCATTAAAGGTAGAAAACTTTCGCAATCACCGTCTGAAATTAACAAGCAAAACTCATGAATAATAGCTAATAGGAGACAAACAAAACTAAAGCATTTGCCGATCAGATGGCAGAATTCAATTAACTTGAAAAATAAAAGAGTTTGTATATAATCGAGGGCATTGTCGACATCATATTCAGTCCAGTTATTGCGTAATATAGCAGCGCACCACACTTTATGACGAGCTCGAATGGGTCATCTAAATAGTTAAGCAATTCGAAGGCTGTGGCTAAAATGCGTATAAGACTTATTAAAATTATATAAGTGGAAAAACGGTACACCGCAAAAGCTTTGTCGAAATTTATTCACATCCCAAAAAATATCCACTTTAACGATAACATTTACTTCACCACGTATGCCGTGCATCGTATGAAAAACTGGAATCCATCCCGAAAGAACCTTCCCATGTGGAGCCGGACTAAATAACTCTAAGCAAAGAGGATCCAAACTGATATTTACTTTTCCAATGGTATCATTGGCGGAGTAGGAAAGGAAGGAAAAAAACAAAGTCGGTCTGTAAAGGGTGGGTTTTACTTACGCAAATGGGATACTTTCTTTTACAATAGCGACAAAAAATATTGGCGTGAGCGATGAAACAGTCAATCTGCTTTGGAGAATGAGGAAAACGGCTCTTCAGTTTATGTATGCAAAGTAGGCTTCTCAAAAATAACTCAAAACCGCTATGTCAATTGTTAGCAATAGAAACACAAATCATCCCAGAAATTGATAATTACCAATTTTTAAAACGGATTTAGTTTATCATCACACGATTCTTGAGACAACCGTTCATTGCTCTAATGCTCGCAAAAAAAATGTTAATTAAACGAAGTGTTCGCGAACGAATTAAGGGATAATGCCGCAGCGGGCATCTTTTAACCAAATTTTGCTTGGCGGTATAAGCGCCCGCTACTGATGCTCAAGAGTAATATTCAAAAGGGAATCGAAAATTTTATGTGCATAAAAAGATTTTTTTTCGTTTGAATAAAATCACTATTAAAACGACTTAAATCTAACTGTACTTAATTCCTATTTTTCTCGAAATTTTGAGATCGCTGCCCTTGAATTTTTAACTTTCAGTCGACTAACATCGAATTTCAAGTGAATTTTCATAAGAACATTCTCTAGTGACAAATAGGATTTTTGATTGGTTGATATTATTACCTAAATCCTAGCAAAATTATGGAATGCAAAATTCGACTCAACTGAAAATAATCATCTTTCTTGTTCGATAAATGTTATTTTCAATGCTCACAATCAAACATTAGCACGCATAGTATATGTGATGGAGCAAAAGATTGCAGTGATGGTTCGGATGAAATTTTGGAGCTTTGTGTTGGTTTCGATTGCCCTGAAATAGCATTTCATTTTGGCTACGGTGCTTGTATCAATGGCAATGCGAAATGTAACGGCATCAAGGAGTGTACCGATGGTTCCGACGAAGCTTGGGAGCCATGTAGCGTTCCTAGAGTTTGCATAGGCAGTAAGTTATTTTGCTTATATTAGTTATAAGAGCTGTAGGGGAGCAATTTAATTGAATAATTTTTTCTAGTTCCATAAAACTTAAAATTGTTAACTTAATTCCTTTGTTGGATATCGTCTTTTTTTTGTTTTTTAATATAGGGTTAATTATTTTAATTGTGCTTAAAATGCTTATATAAAAATATTAAAAAAAGAATAGTAGCAAATAAAATGCGATGTTTTGACTTTTCAAATTTATAAAAAAAAAAGACAAAAAATATTTAGATTCAAACTTTTTCATATCGATTTTTTCTTTTGAATTTGCCGAGAGTAATAAAATTATATTTCACGGAGTAAATTGTTTCCAAATATAAATAAACAATATTTTCAGCAACGTGCTGCAAAGAAATATCTCATAGTTTCACGCCCTCATGCTTATTTATTAATTCTAAAATACTAACTCTTTCTGATTAAATAGCTCCCTTCTGTTGTTAGAAAATGAATGACAAATGAGTGAATGTGTAAATGAGTGAGGAAGTGAATAATGAATGAAAAATATGCGTCCAAAATGGTTAATTGTAAAATAAATATGGTGAACACCACCTGACCTGACGGATTAATTTTTTTGTAGTAATATCAACGATGTCGTTATCAAACAAAAGGACTTGTAAAAGTTAAATGTGTACACTACATGGAAATAATTGAAAATATTACCGAAGATTGTCTATTTGTTTTAACTTGCCTCCTACCGATATATATTGACGATTATAGCAGCGTCATTTGGATAAAGTTATTGGTTTGGTATTCACATGTTGGAGTTAGAAGCGTTGATAGATTCGGTCTCACTTTTGTTCCTAGCTTTAACCTGAAAAACACCAAAGGCTCCTTGACCCAAAGACAGTGCGTATAATATATCACCGCGTGGATATTCCAGTTTTTCCAACTTGTTGCTCAACTTAGATTTAGGAGGTGTTTCATTGAGCACATTATGCACCCTAGCCATATGTGATGTTGAGAGAAATTCTCATGACTGGCGTTCAAATTATAGTCGTTTGGTTGATTATTATATTAACGGCGATACCTCTTGTCGAAACATTACATTGTGAATTTGGATTTTGTAACGTTTTTTGTTGTTGCTGGCTGGGAAGTTCTTTATTCTTAGTGATTTTGTATAGCAAAAGAATGTTTAAATGCAGAGCGACAATGAGTACGAAACTAATACCAGCTAACAGAAATATAACGGAGGGCGTAAAAAATGTTTCCATTTTAATTGGCTCCAGTTCCTTTAAAAGTATTATTATTATTATTATTATTAATTTCGCCACAGAAATAAATTCTAAGACTAAACTCTTTTTAAAAAGCACTAGCATCTAAGGCTATCGGCCTTTTTTTATTAAAAACTCTACCGCACTTGAGATTCGAACCCACGACCATTGACTTGCTAGTCGAGATTCCTCCCCTTCGGCTACTCAGGCGGATCTGCCCTTTAAAAGTAGTATCAATATAATCGCCCACTACCCATTTATTTATAAACAATTGCATGTGTTTTTCATTCGAATTCGCTATATCACCCATTCATTGCTAAAGGTGCGTAATTGAACGATCCCAGTAAAGTCTGCACATCGTTCACAAACAAGAACTACTATAATATAAACTATGTCCAATGTCTATAAAATAAAAAGCATCAACAGTGCATTGACACTTTATGGGTACAAAACACCACTTCTGATAACGAGCGAACTTTATGCGTATAAACAATAAACAAACAAATTGCAGTTACTTAAATGAAGCGGAGATTGTTTTAGAACAGCAAAGACTTACAATGTTTGTGGCATGCGCGTCGCACAAACATCCGCACACGAGGAAGACAGTTTATGGAAATAGCTAAACTTACGCTGTTATTGTCAACGCTTCAATTTAAAAAGTCGTTACACGAATACCTGTAGCATGCTATAGAGTATTTAAGGGTCAACAGTAGAAACTAAAGTATTTTTCATTCTTTTAAACTAATGAAATAAATTCTTAGACTACCCGAAATCAAATGCTTTTTAAAATGTATTCCATATGTTTTACATATATATGTATGAATAAGAGAAAATGTGTTGAGTGAGGTCTGCTTTGAAAATAAACTTAGGCGCAACCAAATGGTTGTTTATAAATTGAAAATAAACTTAGGCGCAACCAAATGGCTATGTTTATAAATAATTTTTTTTTTTTCTAATAAATGCTTTTTTTATGTGTCAATTAGATGAAATACAAATTAAAATCGAACCTGAAAAACTCGAATCACCGCATAATTTAGTGGAATTAATGGAAATATCTGTTAAAGGAGAAAGCGAATCGAACGGAACATCAAATACGGCAGAAATGCTAATTGAGACGGAATTGGAAGAAGCTTTTGTAATAGGTATCAGCAAAAGCTTAGCGGCAAGTGATGAAGAAAAGCACGATTCCGACTTGCCGCAAATTTGTGATAATTGTAATAAGGTTTCTTACAATATAAAAACTTTAAAAGCTCACAAGTTTTCGGAACGTATTAATT